GTCAAAAATTGACAAAACAAAGTAAGTAAAACAATTTTAATAATCATGAAATAAGGGATTAATGTTTGAGAATATTGCTATATACCTAGCTGCCGTGAAGAGAAATGCCGATAAAATCAGAGTCGAAAAAATATCACCTCAATTTGCTGATTGTTGATTGCCCAAAATGCACTAGCCTCATAAGTAGCGAAAAGTGGGTCACCTGTCTGCTTATCCACTAATAGAATATTCTAGAATGATGTCCAGAAAACATGTGCCGTCCATCGTGCAACGTTGGACCTTACACTGTTTCTACATTCGAGGTAGTAAATTATTTGGTAGGCCTTATTAAGTCAAAAGGGTTAATTGGAATTAAATAAATTATTAATCTGAGTTCACTGGCTCTTTGGTTTCAAATGCTACTGCTTGCTATCAACAGATCAAAACAGATCAGTGCTGGATGCAGGTTTGTTCCTGATATTTACCATGAAAGGTGCTGCTGTCAAACTTCTGCGATATTTGATGAATGCGGTAAAAGTATTTCTGAAAATACTGTATCGATATTAGGTCAATGTAAATGTTAGTTTTTTACACGATATTGGTTCATCATCATCATCATCAGCCCATAAGTGCCCACTGCTGAGCAAAGGCCTCTTCTCACACGGAGAAGGTTTGAGCATTAATCACCACGTTTGCTCAATGCGGGTTGGCGATCTCAAACTTATAATTATAAGTCCAGGTTTCCTCACGATGTTTACCTTCACCGTATGTCAGTGGCGTCTAAATAATCAGTAGAAAGTACGTATAACTCGGAAAAAGTCACATTGGTACTTGCCTGTTTGCTTGCTTTCGATATTGGTTCAGTAATATAAAAATAAGATACAACTAAAAAATTAAATATAGTTTGTCGAAATTGTTGATGCCGGTTTAAAGGCAAAACGATCAAAACTCTTGTTTTACCACCAAAGAGGCTTTCGTCTAAATAATAAGACACATTGTCACACTAAGCGGCTGATTCACTCCCTTCAAATAATTATTCGAAAATCTTGTGTGGCACATGGTTCGAAACAAACAACGTTGTATACGTAAGTTTATTTGGTACAAGTGTCAGAGAGCCAAGCATCGGCACAAAATGGACGGCTCGGCCAGAGTGATATCATGGTATCACAGAATACGAGCTTGCTTTGTATTGTGCCGTATGGGTAAGGTTATCGGAGGCGCAAGCCTTTCCTAATCACTAATTCTCAAATTCCTAACTACCCACAAAAGGTAGCAACGCACTTGTAACTTCTATGTGTTATAGGTGTCCATAGATGGCGCCGATTACCATCAGACAAACAACCAGATCGTTTGCTGGCCTATTACATAGCAAAAAACGTATCGTCTTTCAAGATATTGTGAAATAGACCTTAAACCTACGAAACCTATTATTTAAAACAACCACTTTATCAACAAGACATCCCATTTACCCAATTTTCTACGTACATAGTTTAGAAAATCGACCTTCACAATCTGCGAAAATTAATGGTTAACTACAATGATGGATGCTTTGATAAATTTTCGCATTCTACACGACACCATACAATTTATCTAGGAAAGTGTCTGGTTAATGTGATCGGTGTACATCAGGCGGCCAAAAGATGGTATTGAATTTGTAAAATTAATGGTTTAGGAAACTATATTTTATGTAATACTAGCTGTTATAAAGACCATGTGAAACGACGAAACGACGAAGGTCACAAATTTAAAAGACTGGACAGCAGAGCTCTCTAATAAATCTGAACGTTTAGAGGGCGTTCTTCAAGCTGGCTAAGCTCAGGTTTCTCCAGGAAGCGAAATGGTGAGCCGTGAGGAATTATGAAGGACTCTTGTACTATAAGGACGAAGGTTTATGATCGATATCTGGCAAGTTCGCAGTAGTTTTTCAAAGTTACACCTATATATCCACTTTATAAGATTTTTGTACACTACTGATAAACAGTGATGGGATAAATCGTTAGAAAATCTGGACTTATAATATTTTATTATAAATTTGAACTGGCTAAGCTAGTAACAAACAAGACAACTTTGAATACTCAGAAGAAGCCGGGTTGTCCTCCGTGGTCCGGTATGACTGACAGACTGTAATTATGACCCTGAAGGAGGCGTTTTAATTATTGATTGATTGGACATCGTGAATTAGGGTTGTCTACTCAAGTACATAGCTCAAGATATATGATACAGTGACATTTGAAAGTCTTCAAAATTATTGGGATAAATTGGGCTATTTTCTACCCAATATGTCGTAGAATTAATTGAACATTGAACACCAACAAGGGTTCGGCTATCCACCAAAAAACAGGCTGCAGCATATTTTGAATATTTTTGTCATCTTTGTGTCTTTTAAGTATGGTAATTGTGAAATTAACCTCTAAGGTAAGGACTTTAGCTATAATAAGGTATAAAAATGTTATTCATCATCATTACTATCATCTCTTGTTTTTTAAGAACATGTTATAATGAATAATGGCTTAAATATTTCTCTTTTTTCTATAGGTATTTACCCACTGCCGAGCAAAGGTCTCTTGTCACAGGGAGAAGATATAGGCACTTATCATAACGCTTGATCAAGACGAGTTGGCAACAAGATTTGAACCGTATAATCTCCGGGCCACCAAGTCTGTTTATTTTTGTCGACTATTTAACTTTGGCCGACCGAAGACTTGTCGACTGGCTTTCAATGTAAGAAGTATTACATTTTGAAAAAAAATAAGACGGCCAAAACGCAGTATAAACCATACCCTGCATTTTCTACCCATAAAAATGTTTTACGTTAGTTGAATTTCATGTCGGTCGTTCCACAGGAAGCCATTAGTTTCGAAGCCACGTGAATTATAGCCTAGTGACATATGCTATCGATATGTACCACGTCGTTTGGAAATCTGCTCGAAATTGCGATGAAAATTTCATATTTTCATACCTATATTTTCCCAAAGGAGCATGCATGCTTTTGCTGTATGTAATGCGTCTAACTACTGATAGTATGCTGAAGTAGGGATTAGTATTACCCTACATGATATCAGGCTTCGTGAAATCAATAAATAACCAAAAACCAAACATTTATTTGCTTTAGTATGAGTATTTCAATTAAGAACATTGGGAGTAAATTAAGCTAAAAATAAATGAAAACAATTGAACATAAAATATACTACAACTAATTATTACTTAACCAAAACACACACTATCAAAGAGGATCGAGAAACTTGAGAGCGCAACGGACGTTGTCAAGAGCTAAGAAGCTATAAAATCGAGACCTTAGGATAAAATCAGGAGAAACATAATAATAAAAAAATAAACAAAATCAATAAAGAAATGATTTTGTAGTAACCAACTATAAATTCAAATAGATTTTCGGAAACAAAACGTCGACATTTACATTCATTTTAAATTGAACGAAAATTACTTCAACGTGTAGGTTGTTTCCGCTGTTGCTTTTATAGGACTTCCGTTCCATTCAGTTCACTGCACATTTCAATATCCTCTTGGGAGTAAATAACTCATGTCTTTACTTTAGTACATCCTTTTAGACCATCACGTTTCCCAAAATAGACACTAGCGTCAACGGAAAATTTATTTTTTTGTTGGTAAGACAGAAAATAAGCAGGCTGGTTAACTGAATCTGAGTGAACAGCGCCGCTCAAGGACACCTGCTACACCAAAGGAGTGCGTTGTTAAGGAGAAATACCCTTTTTGCTTAAACAGTTGAATGTTCGAAAATCTGAGGCAGAGTGGAAAAATTGGCGGTGTGACATCGATCTATTTTTTATGTACTTACTTATAGTTTAACCTTACCTAACCTACCTAATAAAAGCTTGGTTTATTTTTTATTAAAAGAAATACTCAGCTTTAAGCAACAAGCCTGAGCAATAGCAGCCAAAGATCAATCACGCCAGTTTAAAAGCTAGCTATTTACTTTGGACAAAAACCACGCATCTTTTGGCAAATCACCCATTATGTAAGAGAGACACTAAGGTATCTTAAAATTTTCCTCACATCTGATCCTTTATAAATAATAATCTTGTTTTTGTTCAAGGAAAATGTAATATTGCATAGAATACAGAATATACAGATATTCAATAAATAATTCAAGGTCAACCAGTTGTTTACGTGTCAAAGCTTGAATTTTGCCAGGGATATGCTCACGATCAGGATGATCAATGAAATGTAACAAATATTATGGTCCCGTCCTTTGGAGACAAACTACAAACGAGACCCCGTTACCTTATGTGACAATTTTGGTACCTCATAGTGAATAAGGACCGTGTTTATAATATGAAACATGAAGGATCTTCTTTGATGTTTTAGTATAGGAGAGAGTGTGATTTTGTGAGCGATACATTGTGATGTAGGATTACATCAGCTTATTATTACGAACAATGCTTTTGATAACACGAAATATTAAAGTATCTGAAAACGTCTATGAAATAGAAAGTAAACTTTAGTGTAACTTCACACATTAATGGTTGTAGCCTACAAGACCGCCTCTACGGTTAGATCACCAAAACATACCTTTACTTTCAAGACAGAAATACGTCCAAGAACGCTTTGTACAAGAAAATAAATAAATAAATTAATTAATTGCGGAAACAAAATATTCAATTTTGCGTATTGGAATATGAAAAATCGATATTTAATATCATACTCAAGGTAGCCATTGTAAGGGTAACAATAGAGATTGCTATGAAGGAAACGTTGCCAAATTCAAAGAATGTATTCACAATACACTAAAGCAATGGCTTAGAAATTCAGCCTTTTAAAAGTGTGTGCTGGATATAGGTACAGATGATAATATGTTCGTTTCCACGAAAAGTCATATTACTATTTGGAGAATAGAGAATGTGACAGTCGAAATAAAAGGATTCAAAATATAAAATTCTTACTTTCGCAAGATAATAAAAGTTCACACCCAGTTTCTTCAAAGTTTTTCCAATCCTTTCAGAAACAGCGTACAAATCGGTGAAAAGTAATTAGAGTCTACTCACCTGAAAATACAGCACAATTCTGCACATCGCCGTTCCAAAGAACCACGTCTCCGTCACATCCCAAAGCACGGTGGGCGGCAAACAAATGAGAATCACCATAAAATCAGCCATAGCTAAGTTTACGATGAAATAATTCGTCACAGTCCTCATAGAATGGTTTCTGTAAACAGCTATGCACACTAACGCGTTCCCTATTAATCCGATCACGAACACAATGGCATGTGTGGCTATCAACACCCATTCGTAGGGTTGAGGAAAAATATATTCGTTTAACATATCCAAATATTCTCTCCTCGTCATATTGCAATAGTCTGGCTGTCCAACACATGGTCTTTCGATATAGTTATCGTCGTAAATCGACAAGTTTGTCTGATCGTCATAATCTGTAGTGGTTCCTTCTAATTTATCATAGCTACTGTTCAAAGTAGCGTTTGCAATATATTCATCTATCTCAAATATGCTATCATCATTCGTTTTATTCCCCAATCTTTTTGGTTTATTTGCATTTAATGATAAACTATCTAAATTTGAATTAGACATGTTTCCATACACGTCCATATTTGAAAAGCATATTTCGCACATGACAAACATCGTCAGCGATGAAAATAATGTTTTTGAATACATTTTCTCTGTTTCATGTGCTCATTTCGTTTAATTCGTTGATCATTTTATCCATTGAGTTTTCAATTTTTGCGCCATCTGAAAAAGAAAGATATTTATTTAAATTGGGTAATTTTGATTCAGTAGTAATGGATGGGACATTTGCAACGAGGAGAGATGGCGGTGACGGGGCACTTGCAAAAAACGTTCGAATAAAATTTTCGCCATTTTTGGACGTTCGTAGTTAATTAATAGGTCTTCTTCGTGTTCGTTTTGTAGAAATGTTGAACACTTTTTGTTTAAAAGAATTATTGCGAAACCAACAAAATACTTGATTATTCGGTTTCGGTGGCCTTTTTGAAGACACATTAAGTGATTCAGGTATACTCGAGAGAGACATGGAATAAGTAAAAATAAAAGCATTTTATTGACTTTCTTTTAAAAGGTCCCTTGTGGCTGCTTTTCTAAGTTGTATTCTATGTTAAATTTATATATGTTATTTTAAGGTCTTTCTTAGATAGTTGGTGAACTATTAGACGTTTTTGTTTCGTAGCCCTTTTAAAATACAAAGATATCTAAAGTGGTTTTCGATGTTTTGTAAATTTTAAAATCAAGTCACGTTGATGGCAATCTTGCAGCTAAATAAAGAACCAATCTTGACACATTTATAAAACAAATTTCTAGATCGATCTCGGCATATTGGATTGATTGCAGCAGTATGTAAATAAAGCCAGTAGTGCACAATTACTAACAACAAGTCAAATGTGAGTTCACACGTGAAAGGTTCCGAATTGTTCATAATCTTATTCATTCGGGCTACAAGCTGTATCACCGCGCTGTAGCTATTTTTAAGTATAAAATTATGGAAGCGTCTGAATTGATTTTAACATGAAAACTTGACTAAGTATTCGCACATTACTTTTTTAAGGGATGTTATTATTATACTAATAGCAATCGTGCGACGCCGGGGCGGGTCGCTAGCATAAGGTATTAAATAAAAACTACACCCGTTCCTTCTCGTACTCCGAGCCGGGCCCAGCGTACGTTATTTTGTGTGCACTCGCAACCATGGCTGAGGGATGTACGCAAAACAAAACAAAAGCAAAAAACATACTTTTGTTATTTATTTTTTATTTTTATTTAGTAGGGTGGCAAACGAGCCGACGGATTACCTGATGGTAAGCAATCAGCGCCACCCATGGACACTCGCAAAGGAGGAGTTACGAGTGCGTTGCCGACCTTTTAGGAATTAGGGATTTGGAGATTTAGGGAGTGGGGAGGGATTGGAGAAGGGAAGGATTTGTGCCTCCGGTAACCTCACTCACACGGCGAAACACAACGCTGTGGTTATTTCACGCCGGTTTTCAGTGAGGCCGTGGTATCACTCCGGTCTAGCCGACCCATTCGTGCCGAAGCATGGCTCTCCCACACTTAGTATTACTGTCTTATTTAACTAACCTAACTTACCCGAATGAAGATTTTTGATGTTAAATATGACTCAAAACATCGTTATTTTCTTTACCTAGTTATTTGTTAAAGAAACGTGATGATAACAGTTTAAAATTCCATTCGATGATAAATCAATCGCCTCTTTAAGGTTTATGATTCATTTCAAATACACGTCAAAACTAACGTCTTATTTTCAACCTTATTACTGAGAGTAAAAAGTGAATTATTCTGTTGTGTTTTTACACTCTGCCAGAATATTTAGCCACTACATCTCAGATACATTTTTTACATTAAAATTCGTGGTCTTCAAGCTTGGCTTGTAGTTCGTAGTAAACTTAATAAAGTTTAGAGGATGTAAATGAGACATATTCTTTAAATTTTTTAAATTTAAAATCTGATTCCGAACCGCATCTTGCTAAATGTAGATACTTGGAACACTGAAGTCCATGAATGGATCATATCAAGTCATGGATCCCGCATCGAAATAAATAAGACTATTTTATTTGAGGAGAAGACCGAAACAGTTTCCAGTTTCTTCAGTAAATTGAATGCAGGAGACAGAATGACTTAAGCCTTAAAGACACATGAGAGGCTGTACAACTGGGAAAAACCCAGTCACCAAATACCACGGAGATCAAGGATGCAACGTTTCAAACATTAATGAAAAATAGTTTAACTGATCACTATGTAAATGTATCTAAAATAACGATCAATATTCATACTTAGGTACTATACTCGTAAACATACAAACGTTTGAATAAAAAATGGCAACCGATTTAAAACGAATGTTGTAAAATTCAGGACAATGATATGAAACTATGTCTGGAATGTGCAGTGTCTATTTTTTATTTCTTACTAGCTACTCTCGAACGGTTTCACACGCTGCTCAGCTCCATTTGATCGTAGAGTGTTTTTTTTAGCCTATGGAACTCAGGAACATTATGATTGTAGCTATCTATCAGTGAAAGAATTTTGGCAATCCGACCAACGGTTCCAAAGAATACCCCCTACATACAAACTTACAAATTTTACCTTTTTATAATATTAGTATATACTATAGATGACGGTAAACGAATTGACGGATTACCTGGTGGTAAACAATCAGGGGAAGGATTTTGGCCTTCGGTATTGCTTCACCTCGGTTTTCTGTAAGGCCGTGGTATCTATCACTCCGGTCGAACTGGCTTATTCATGGCTCTCCCACAATTGTTTTGAATGCATATTTTCTTTATTTATAAAAGAATTTAGAAATTATATATTTAATTTTTAACTTTTAACTAGCATTCTTAACCGCTGCTACTCGGATCCCATTCGTTTTAAGCCTCTGACTTCTGGCGCGCTCGAACGCTTAGGTGGCTCGCGAGTAGATATGCCATACCTATACAAGTGTTTTGCATACACGCGTAATGACATTGCCTTTCGCTCCACGTAGGGCAGCAAAAGATAAGATATTTTTTGTTAATATAATATTATAAGTAGTGGATTTTCTTGTAAAAGTCTATGACCCCCGAAGGGGACAAACTGGGTGTTTTCAGGAATGGCCCGAGTGAATAGGTTGCTTATGGGTTTGCTAATGAAAAGTAAGATAATTTTTGCCCTTCGAGCAAGGGTACATCACCGCTCGACCAGAACTAGACCCAAGCTCAGCGCGTAGCTTACCGCGCGCAACTCAAAGAGCCATTAGACCACTACAGAAGGAGCCCTATAGGGCTGATGTTCAGCCGGGGTTGCGAGGTAAGCGCAATGAAGCACCGCGACCTCGGCCCAGAGCAAGAGAAGGAACAGTTGGTTTTTAGTCAGTAAGAGTCTGACACACCCTCTCACCTTACAATGGGCAAGAGAATTCAATTGATGACTTTCCCCTCACGAAAAAGAAGATAATTACCCTTACCACCCTTACAAAAAAAAAAAACAAATATAGTTGTGTATATCTGTGATGAGACAATTAAAACAAATGAACTGAACGTAGTGCGCAGAACATATTGTGCGGAGTAATCTATGTATAAACGGGTGTGTATAGCACAACAGCGAATTGTTCAATGTTAATTAATTTTACCTGACTATTATTTGTGTACTAGCTTGTTGAATGGTCGGAAATGTTTGTGTAGATGCAGGAGGCTTGTAAGGTGGAATTAAGTTAAAATAATATATTTTAGAATTGTAAAGGATTTTTATGTTACGTTCCGTGATTGAGCTGGATTGGTGACACGATAAGCAACTTGTTGCAGGCTTAATTCCCGTACGGGATGACTCTTCGTGCAATCCAACATTTGTGTATGGTAAACTTACCATTTAAAAAAAACTTTTGTATCAGGTGTAGGCGATGAAAAACATACCATTTTAAATACACTTGGTACTTAAAATAGTATGGTATGGTCCAAACCGTGGTCGTGGATAAAATCCTAGTGTGCGGCACTAGGATTTTCTCCTGTGTCGTGAATGTGATTACAAACATACAACTTCACATACACATGACACCCAGACCCGGAACAACAATTTGTGGATCACACAAAGAGTTGTTCCGTGCGGGAATCGAATCGAAACCGCGACACGTTGCAGCCAGTTGCCTAACCACCGCACCAACTGTGCAGTTTAATTCATAAATATTTTTCACTGTCCTACTTGTCTCACTTTATACTGTTTTATTGAGGTATGTAGCAAATAATATATATTAGCATAGCATAGCATAGCATAGCAAATATAACTAGTAAATACCATAACGTTATAACCTGTTTTATAGTTTCACGCTGCTTAGCTTCATGAAGCGAGCAGAATTCGAAACGATATTTTAGTATACCTATAACTAAATTACGACTAGACACGTCTAAAATATCTAAAATAGCAAGACTTAATTTGAGCGGAAAAAAATATCAAATGACTAGGTTTTGCCCGAAACTTAGTTGGCGTGGAATAGTGACTTCCAGCAGATTATTGGTTTAAAAACTATCCTATGTCCTTTCTCGAGTTCCAAACTATGTCTGTACCGAATTTCACAGAAATCGGTTCAGTAGTTTAGGTGTGAAGAAAAGACAGATATACAGACAGCGAAAGTAACTCTTACTTTTTTTATTACGCATTTATAATATTAGTTACGAAGTTTGGATAGTATAGTATTAGTTTGAATTTCTCCCAACCTAGGTAAGATGAGAGGAAGTGTCAGACTCTTACAGGCCAACTGTTATTGCTCCAGGCTGGGCCTGCGATACATTTTTTTTTTATATATAAAACTTACTAGCATTTTCTCTAGTGCCGTGAGTGTGTATAAACATACAAATTCACATACACATCACACCCAGACCCGAAACAACGACGGAAACTGCAAACGTTTCAAAAACAGTCATAGTAGCTAGGTAAAAAAATGTTGTTGTAGGTCAAGACGTCATGTGAATATAAGTTTGTGAACGAAACTAAGGTACAGTATACTGAAAGATGGGTAACAAATATTATCAAAAAAAAAACTATTTTTTTTTCCAACACAGTCTCTATTCACC